TCCCAGAAGTTACCTACTACAGGACAGGCCTAACAAAGAAAATAACAGAACGCCACTAGCGGTCACCTTCAGCCCCCAACTAAAACCCCTCCAACGCATTATTAAGGATCTACAACCTATCCTAAAGGATGACCCAACACTCTCACAAGTCTTGGGAGACAGGCCAGTCCTTGCCTACAGACAGCCCCGCAACCTGAAGCAAATACTCACCAACAACCACATACCACACAACAGAACCACTAACCCAGGAACTTATCCTTGCAACAAAGCCCGTTGCCAATTGTGCCCACATATCTATTCAGGGGACACCATCACAGGGCCTAATAACATCAGCCACACTATCAGAGGCTCGTTCACCTGCACATCCACCAATGTGATATATGCCATCATGTGCCAGCAATGCCCCTCTGCCATGTACATTGGTCAAACTGGACAGTCTCTACGTAAAAGAATAAATGGACACAAATCAGATGTCAAGAATTATAACATTCATAAACCAGTTGGAGAACACTTCAATCTCTCTGGTCACGCAATCACAGACATGAAGGTCGCTATCTTAAAACAAAAAAACTTCAAATCCAGACTCCAGCGAGAAACTGCTGAATTGGAATTCATTTGCAAATTGGATACTATTAATTTAGGCTTAAATAGAGACTGGGAGTGGCTAAGTCATTATGCAAGGTAGCCTGTTTCCTCTTGTTTTTTCCTACCCCCCCCCCCCAGATGTTCTGGTTTAACTTGGATTTAAACTTGGAGAGTGGTCAGTTTAGATGAGCTATTACCAGCAGGAGAGTGAGTTTGTGTGTGTATGGGGGTGGGGGGGATGTGAGAAAACCTGGATTTATGCAGGAAATAGCCCGACTTGATTATGTAAAGAGTTGTCACTTTGGATGGGCTAGCACCAGCAGGAGAGTGAATTTGTGTGGGGGGGTGGAGGGTGAGAAAACCTGGATTTGTGCTGGAAATGGCCCACCTGTTGATCACTTTAGATAAGCTATTACCAGCAGGACAGTGGGGTGGGAGGAGGTATTGTTTCATATTCTCTGTGTGTATATAAAGTCTGCTGCAGTTTCCACGGTATACATCTGATGAAGTGAGCTGTAGCTCATGAAAGCTCATGCTCAAATAAATTGGTTAGTCTCTAAGGTGCCACAAGTACTCCTTTTCTTTTTGCAAATACAGACTAACACGGCTGTTCCTCTGAAACCTGTGTGTATATAAAGTCTGCTGCAGTTTCCACGGTATACATCTGATGAAGTGAGCTGTAGCTCACGAAAGCTCATGCTCAAATAAATTGGTTAGTCTCTAAGGTGCCACAAGTACTCCTTTTCTTTTTGCAAATATGGCCCATCCAAGGTGACAACTCTTTGCGTGGTCGGGTCGGGCTATTTCCTGCATGGATCCAGGTTTTCTCGCATCCCCCCCACCCCCATGCACACACAGACTCACTCTCCTGCTGCCAGCAGGAGAGTGAGTTTGTGTGTGTATGGGGGTGGGGGGGATGTGAGAAAACCTGGATTTATGCAGGAAATAGCCCGACTTGATTATGTAAAGAGTTGTCACTTTGGATGGGCTAGCACCAGCAGGAGAGTGAATTTGTGTGGGGGGGTGGAGGGTGAGAAAACCTGGATTTGTGCTGGAAATGGCCCACCTGATGATCACTTTAGATAAGCTATTACCAGCAGGACAGTGGGGTGGGAGGAGGTATTGTTTCATATTCTCTGTGTGTATATAAAGTCTGCTGCAGTTTCCACGGTATACATCTGATGAAGTGAGCTGTAGCTCACGAAAGCTCATGCTCAAATAAATTGGTTAGTCTCTAAGGTGCCACAAGTACTCCTTTTCTTTTTGCGAATACAGACTAACACGGCTGTTACTCTGAAACCTATCAAATTCTAGTCACATTAGTAGTAGTTTTGTTAGTCCCATTGAGTTTAATGGGGATTACTTCAATGAATAAATGGAGCAGGATTTGGCTCACTACATCTGAGGTCCAGTTTAGTTTGCTTGAGACCACTAAATCCTCTTGTAAAATCACTTTCTTCTAGTAACTAGTAAGCAATTAAACTAATCTGTTACTTAAGCCACACACACAACCTTTAAGAAGTCTGTATTGTGGGGAAAAACATTTCCACTTAACTGAAACTAACTAAAATTCCTAGGTGGCTTTTTCCATTTCTGAAGCAGAAAGATGAAAGAAAGTAAATATGGGGAGAGACATTGCTTTGAAAAGGGCCCGATCCTGCAGTCCTTACAAAGCAAAACTTCCACTGTTATCAGGGAGCGGGATCAGGCCCAGAGACTTCTTAAATTAGTAAATATCAGAATGTAATCCTATATTGTATATTCTCTTTTGAGTCTCTCATGCTGTTCATGCACTCTAATTTGGCACTTGCAAATTGCCACCTGGATTTGTAGCTAAAATTACCTGGGACACCTGACAGAACCCTAGTATTGCTGGAAAAAAAATCTGAACAGGTGAGCATTTGATGAGGAAAAGTAAACTAAACCTGCCAGGACTGATGAGGATACAGTTATCAAATATAATAACCATTATCCACAATCCTGAAATGCACAAAGATGCAAATCTGAAAAGTTGGTATTCATGTAAAAGATTGAAATATTTGAAAGCATTTTTGTAAGTCTTTAAATTTATATCCTTTTATATTTCATTCTTTTTAAAAGAATTGTGATCTTTTACAAAACAGGATTTTAAAAAGTGTTGCACCGGGTTTGATTTTTAAAAATACTTTGGTTAAATTTAAACAAAAAGTACTATATTGTCATATCAAAGTACAATTAGTACACTGTGAAATCATCCCTAAGGATGTTAACAAGATGTTAGCCGTGGTCTAGAGACAACTAAATTCTCCATTTTTAAAGAGAAACAAAAAACACAAGCTATAGCAAAAGGTAGATTATGGAAAGGCAAATTAGTATTTGTATAGGGCCTTGAGGATAAAATGGTATTTAAGTGCAAATAATTTTATGGAAACCAATTCCTTTAATGGTTGATTACTATATACACTAGACACTGATCTCTCGCGGTGCTCTTATGGATGTTACGGTTTGAGCTAAAACACATGAAATCTGCATGGACTTTATTGAAATAAGTAAGGGCTTTCGCTTTGGGATTGTTTAAGGCAAGTAAATAGAAGACTTCCTTTTCTGCAGGCATTTTTAACTATTCTGCAAATTGTTCTGAAGAAAAAAATATCGAATGGTAAATGGAGTGAGGGAGATAAGAAAATCCAGAGAGTCAAAATATAAATAAAATACACCAGATTTCAGTTTATTCCTCTCCCCTAAATATAAGAGGTTATAAAAGGGATGGGGGGAATACCAGTTTCCAGTAGTGCAACCCTTTAGTTGTTAAGGCATTCAAATGAGAACTTTTAAACTGAGTTTCGCAACGTTGTTAAGATCATAATTAATTAAAAAAAAAAACAAAAAAAACCAAACCCGTAAAGATTGCACCTCTTGCTTTTCTTTTCTTAGGGCTTTCCTGACAAGCCTTGTATTTAAAGGGGGTGTGTGTGTGTACCCTTGTGTGGTTTTATTAGTAACCGAAAACACATCAGGAGAAAGATGTAAGGGGGAAGGGGGGACTTTTGTTCTACCAAAAGCAGTTAGAATCAAGTTGTACTAACAACCTTCCTGAAACAACTTTCGTTTGTGTAAGGAGATGAGACAATAGGATTACGTTTCGTCTCTGTCCTCTTTTGAAAAAGGTACTGCAGAGAACCTTTTTTACAAAGCAAATGTTTAGCTGGTCCTCATTTCCCAAAGATTATCTTCCAAGGGCCAGTCCTTCTGAAGGAATGAACACCAGTACTCGAACACTCTTTGACACGAGGAATTAAACAGTTATGCCAACTTTGTAGCTAGATGTTTTCTCCGGGCTGGGGAGCACACTTCTTTCAAAAGGAAGAGAAATCCTACTGACCCAAGTCTCAGTCAACAGGAATGCTAATGAATCTCTGCACATCGCACATCTAAACGCGAATGGGCACTAGGGAGGGGGGCTGACAACCTCTCTCCCAAAAAATGCAGTTGAGCCCAGTGCTCTCCTTCAACGTGAGGGCTTATCTACCTCTGCAACCTGGTCCCTTTCTTTCCGCCCACAAAGCTTCTTTCTCTAGCACTATTTTACATGGTTTCCATGAAGTCGGTATCAACCCCCTCCCCGCCCCCCTGTCTTACACAGAGACATCACGCTATTCCTTGTGGAGTTCTTTTATTGGAAAATAACCATGAAGCCTGAGCTTTTTTTTTTTTTTCATAAAATAGTCACGCACAAATATACAGAGGGGAAAAAAAATCACTCCTGGCTTGCCAGTGGTCTTATCTCCAAAAACACAACTCGGAAAACAGATCGAGCACAGAAAGAGACCACGGCTGACATTTCATTGAACCCAACCTAACGATATATATTTTTAAAAAAGCTGCAACCTGCCGTGTTAAAACATTTTTTAGTTTACAATGTATAAATAAATCCACCCCCTCTCCGCGAAATGCTAGGTGCTGCACTGGAGGTGGGGGTGGGGGGTAGGGGGTTATTTTGGCACAGTGATGCATTGGTTTGGAGTAGAGAAAATGACCCAGCAACCTCTGGCACCTTTTCACTCGCCCAGCCCTCACCCTTGGGTGCACAGCGCACCCCCAAACCCGTAGTCGGGACAGAGCCTGACGGAACTGGTTCCCTGATCAATGACACATGGCTTTGCGCAGCGAGAAACCAGCGCGAGAGCAGATCAGGCACCTGCCTTAAGCCAAGTGGTTTCAACAATGACTGAGAAGCACTTTGACCCATTGCGAAGTCCAAATACAAAGCGCCCCCACTTTGGTTTGGTTCAAACCCCGCTCCCCCAGATCTAAGGCACAGTCACTTGTCTCTGGATAGAAAGTGCAGACGCCAGAGCCTCGTCGTCCTCCTCCTCCCTTGCTCCCCCATCCACGTGTTCCCCGCCTCCCCCGCCTTGGGGAGGAGGGGGTCTGTATTAAGTCAGGAGGCGCTCGAGGGGGTAGGGCGAGTACGAGGCAGGGAGCCCCGGGGCCGTGTGCAAGGGGCCGGGCAGCCGGAGGGGGCCATAGAGCGGGGCGCCGAGCAGCGCCTCGGAAGGGGAGGGGAGGAGCTGGGGAGGCTCCGGCGGGCGGCGGGCGCTGCTGGCCGCCAGCGCCTCCCTCCCGCGCTCCAGCGGCGGGGGCCCGTAGGCGTAGAGCGGCAGGAGGCCGCCACCGGCGTAGAGCGAGGCCGGCGGGGGCGGGTAGGAGCCCAGCGGGTAGGGGGCGGGCAGCAGCTGGGGGCCGGGCGGCGCGGCCCAGAGCGCCCGGCTCGGGGCGGGGGCGCGCTGGAAGGGCCGGCTCAGGATGCTCTCGATGGCGAAGGAGCTGGAGAACTTGGAGCCCGGCCTGGCCGCGGCGGCGGCGGCAGCGCCCGCCCGCCCTTCCTCGGCGGCGCCCCCGCCGCAGCTGCAGGGGGCGGCGGAGCCGCAGCAGCAGCAGCCGGCGGCGGCGGTGGCGGGGGCTGCCGGGCGGGCGGCCGGCGGCGGCGGCGGAGCGCGGCTGAGGCGCTTGCGGCGGCGGCGGAAGACCCCGTCGGCGAAGGTGTACTCGCTGCTGGGGTTGAGCATCCAGTAGTTGTCCTTGCCCCAGGGCCGGGCCGGGTCGCGCAGCACCTTGAGGAAGCAGTCGTTGAGCGACAGGTTGTGCCGCACCGAGTTGCGCCAGCCCGTGTAGGCGCCGCGGAAGAAGGGGAAGCGGCCCATCAGGTAGTCGTTGATCTCGGCCAGGGTGAGGCGGCCGCCGGCCGAGTCCCGGATGGCCATGGCGATGAGCGCGATGTAGGAGTAGGGCGGCTTGGGCCGCCGCGTGTAGGGCTTGTTCCCTTTCCCGCCCTCCGCGCCCGCCGGCCCCGCGCCCGCCGCCCCCTGGCCGCCCGGGCTGTGGGCGGCGCAGTCCCCGTCCGAGCCCAGCTCGCTGTCGCCCGGCGCGGGGGACGGGGCCCCGCTGCCCTCCTGGTCGCTGCCGCCCAGCTTGTCCTCGTAGCGCGGGGCGAAGACCTCCAGCTTCATGGCGCAGCTGCTGCCTCACCGGGCCCCGGCCTCTTCTCCCCTGGCCGCCAGGCTGGGGCGGGGGGCGGCTCTAGGGCAGCCCCCGGAGCTGGGCTGGGGAGGTGGCTGGCTGACTGGGGGTCTCCTTCCCTGTCGGGAACAGTGTGTGTGTGTGTGTGGGGGGGGGGCTCTTGTTTCTCCCCCTGGAGAGCGGCAAAGGTTTCCTCCTTGGCGAGCAGCGCAGGCTGGGGGTTGCCTCCCCCTTCACCCTTGGCAAGTAGCAAAGACCAGGGGCGGGGAGGGGGGGTTGGTTGGAAGTGGGGGAGGGCTCTTCCCACTTGGACAGGTCCCTGGAGAACAGGGTGCCCTCCTCCTAGCCTCCTGGAGCCTAGGTTACTTGGGGGCAGGGAGGTCTCTCTATTTCTTCCACCCCTCTGTGATCCCCTTCTCTTAGGGAGAGGCACCGAGTCCTTCCCCGCTACCTTGACTTTGGTTGCTCCAGGTGGGAAGAAAACCAACTAACCCCAAGTCAGTCGGTCTCGGATGGGTAGTTCTGCAAAGTCAGGTCCTCTCTCCAGACCCTCAAAGTTTGATCTTGTCCCTTTTTCGGGAGAGGTTCCTCATGTTACTGTCCACAGAGCAATTCAAATGGAATACATTATCTCTAGGGATGGGCAGTTACTCCTCTCTGTCTGTAGTTGCTGGTGCTCCTGTGTCAAGGGACCTGGTTTCTTCAGTCTTGAGATTCTGAGCTGACTTCTTGCTGAAGCAGTGGCAGCAGCCAAGTTATTATTGTTATTAGTAGTACTGTCAAGTCATTATCTCTCTCTCTCTCCCCCCGTTGGCTCTGTGTCTCTACACCACTTTCAGACCAGCCTATTATAATACTTAGGCAGCCCAGGAGAGGCGGAGCTAGAACCAGGATCTGAAAGGATGATGGGCGGGGAAGCAAGGTAGCAAAGGTAGGTATCCACTAATAAGCAAGATCAGAGTCATAATGATCTCCCTGTCATCTCAGATCTTGTTGGAAAGTTTATTTCATGCAACATGTTTGGTTTGTTTTTGTGTTTTCCTCTGCCAGGTTCCACCCCTTCTCTCCCTCCCATCCCTGAGTGTTTTGAATGAAGGAAGCCAGCAGGGACAGTGTGTGCGCGTGTTTGTAGGTTTGCATAGCAGGTTCCTCCTGCCAGGTGTAAAGTTCAGGATGACTTGTAGGTGGCAGAGCAACACCAGCTACACATTTATTATTTTTACATAATACTGTGTTTGGTAACAACGTGTAATATGACAGCTCAACACCCTATTAAAAATAATACAGTGCTTCACTGAGAAGCTGTATAAACTTCGTTGTGAATTCCTCATGACTTATGTAGCTTGATAGTCATTTAATCCTCACCCTTATCCTCCCAGTCCAGAATGAAAAGTGAATGGGTCGGCACTTCTACATGCTCTGATGGAAATACTTCAACAAAACTCTGACCTTGATTTTATGTATAGATCTAATGAACAGAGACACTGAACAAAACAATATAGCTGACTTCTTTCAGAACCTGTCTTTGTATCTCCCTCTGTATAACTCTCTATTAGATCGTTACTTTGTAAATAAAACCTTTTTGAACATTAAAAAGCTGCTTTACGTCAGTGTTTTTTTGCATGCCCCATAACACTAGAATTCAAATACAGGACCAAAATTTATATAATGAATTAGGACTTAGAGTTCATTTGTTTTACCTGTTTCTTTCCAGAAAAATCTAACATGGAATATTTTTAATATGTATTTCACAATTGCTATGGTCTGGTCTTCATTGAGGTGAATAGTCCAATTCACTTCAGTGTAGCCTGTATTCAGTAGGACTGTTTACTAAAGGGAACAAGGACATGGACTGATAGCCAGTGGAACCTGTGATTTCTCTGAAAATTGCTTTCTATACTGGACTTTACAAAAAATCAGTTGACTTAAAATGGGAGTAAGATCTAACCTATTACAATTCTGCACTAGACCTCATTTGTCAGCATGTGGAAGACTTTCTAGGATATAATCTTTCCAGAAACAAAGATTATGTTCCATCTTTATAGATAATATACCTGAATTCTGTGTTCTAAGACCTGAATAGCTTGTTAGGTGGGTGAACAAATTGCTTAATAATAATAAAAGAAACATATTCTGAGTGCCTAGACTTTTTGGACTGAGTGCTGATAGTGCGTAAGGTTTATAAAGTTACATCATAATTCTATTTTAGATGCTCGGCTAAAACCACTGTCCATTTATCCTTGAGGTTTGCATTGCCCTTTATCTTTTTTGCAGCTGAGGAGTGGTGGAGAGAAATATGGAAGAATGCAGATTTAAAAGTGCATTGAAAGAAACACAAATAGCATCACTTTCTCTTTTGATGGGATTGCTTTCACCCATGCACCTGCAGAAAGCCTCAGAAAACTTGCCAATTTTTAATTTTGCACATTTTGAATAGTAAACATTGAACAATGAAGGGACTCTTCATTCTTTCATCTGTACTTTCCTGTTATATTTACCTAATTTTAAAAAGGGGTGGGTGTCTTCCACCTCAAGTTACCACTTGGCCCGTCTTTAATTTAAAAAGTCCAAAAAATAAGAGGGAAGCCACCTTTGGGGTTTTTTCAGTTTTTTTCCCTTCAAATAACATGAGATGAAAAATTTTAATGAATAGTTGACTTAATAAAAAAGTGAAGTGTCAATGTTTGTTCTAAGGGTATGGGGGAAAAAAGCTCCTATTGCTTCCAAAACTTGTATTTTTCTAACATGATGCCAATGGTGAGGGTAGGTTTCTTCCTCTTCCTGCCTTTGTTGTAAATGGCAATGCAGAAGCCATGATTTGGTAAACTACCTTTTGATGTTTATTTTATTACCTTTCCACCATTTGTGTGGAAAATGTACACATTGTCTCTTATCCTTATTCAAAGAACTTAAAAGTCATTCAAATGCTGTAGGTGAGCATGTCAGACAAAACAGAGGCTTTTTCACGGCCATGTTCCAAGACTAGGAATGAATGGCAAAGCTGGAGTTTTCCCTGAGTTTGAGTTTCAGCTCAGAGGTTGATATAAATTTTCCACAGTTATCAAGGTACATTGATAGTGTGATCTGCATCTGATTCTGCTTTGACATGGGGTCCAAGTCCCCATGCTGTGAACACTTAAGCACATGTGTAACTTGATTGGAATGGGGGAGTGCCATTGAAGTGTATGGGGCTACTTACCTGAGTAAAGTTATGCACATGTGTAAGTGTTTGTAGGATAGGGTTTAAATCCAGAGTTTCTGGTGTAAATGAGAGCATAACTAAGCCCACTCTCTTGTGCTGCTGTTGAAGCAGCAACCAATGTTCCATGAACAGGAAAATATATGACTAAGTATCATAACTCACCATAGAGAGCATGTAACCTGCATAGGTCAGTGCCACAAGTCTCTTCCTGCTATAGTTTAAAAAGGTACGATACTGCCTTTAGATTTATGAAGATGAATACAATCATCAGGGAAAAAAGCAGATTCCATTAAATAAACTCACATCAAAAGCACTTTGATGTGCTATATTAGAGCAAGTTTAAAAAAACAAAACAAAAATCCCTCCTGTAAAGCAAATATAAATGAAGAAGCAAATATTACTTTTTTCTAAAATGAAAATTGCTCTAGGTCTTAAGAGTATCAGATTTTTATTTATTTTGACAGGATGAAATCCCCAAAAGCAGCACCTACACAAAAAGAAGGGAGGAGAAGTGACATACTATCTGCAAATCATGGTCCTGATTCTTCTACCTTCATTCTTGTGGAATACTACTACTTTACTCTAATTACTCTGAAGCCAGTAAGGAGTAAAGTAATATTTATTGCAAGTAAGTTTGGAAGAATCAGAGCCTATATTTCCCCCGTGGGCTGATTAAGTCATAAATAGGATTTTTTAAAAAAATATTACTATTAGAATTAATGGTTCCATTTTCTATTTATTCTTTTATCCAGTCATGCTGTCTCCACACTAGTTACACATTGGTTGTACACATCAGAATGCAATTTACAAAAGAAGTGTGCCACTCTTTAAAACAAAACAATGGTAAGAGAACAAATACCCTCGCCTCCCCTTTCTGCTCCAGTCTTGTTGAGCTGCCATCAGTTATGCTGCAGTTCCTTTCTGTTATGCCCAGGCAGTTCACTAGACAAAGTTAACCAGAACAGAGAAGACCTGTTGATGGTATCATAGGTGTCAGTGATGACCTCTCTGGTTGGCAGTAGAGAGGCTTATTTCTAGACATGAGATGTTTAGCACTTCAGCTGGATAGAGCACTTGATCCCCCGCCCCCACCACTACAGCTTCAAGTGTTCCGTGACTTGCCAAGAATGATGAAATCGGAGAACACAATACACTGGTAACAATGGACCAGTTCAAAGAGCTATCTTTGGATGAAGAAAAGGAGTACTTGTGGCACCTTAGAGACTAACCAATTTATTTGAGCATGAGCTTTCGTGAGCTACAGCTCACTTCATCAGATGCATACCATGGAAACTGTAGCAGACTTTATATATACACAGAGAATATGAAACAATACCTCCTCCCACCCCACTGTCCTGTTGGTAATAGCTTATCTAAAGTGATCATCAGGTGGGCCATTTCCAGCACAAATCCAGGTTTTCTCACCCTCCACCCCCCCACACAAATTCACTCTCCTGCTGGTGCTAGCCCATCCAAAGTGACAACTCTTTACATAATCAAGTCGGGCTATTTCCTGCATAGATCCAGGTTTTCTCACATCCCCCCCACCCCCATACACACACAAACTCACTCCTGTGTGTATGGGGGTGGGGGGGATGTGAGAAAACCTGGATTTATGCAGGAAATAGCCCGACTTGATTATGTAAAGAGTTGTCACTTTGGATGGGCTAGCACCAGCAGGAGAGTGAATTTGTGTGGGGGGTGGAGGGTGAGAAAACCTGGATTTGTGCTGGAAATGGCCCACCTGATGATCACTTTAGATAAGCTATTACCAGCAGGACAGTGGGGTGGGAGGAGGTATTGTTTCATATTTTCTGTGTGTATATAAAGTCTGCTGCAGTTTCCACGGTATACATCTGATGAAGTGAGCTGTAGCTCACGAAAGCTCATGCTCAAATAAATTGGTTAGTCTCTAAGGTGCCACAAGTACTCCTTTTCTTTTTGCGAATACAGACTAACACGGCTGTTACTCTGAAACCTATCTTTGGATGAGCTGCCCACAATACAAGACACAACTAGTGTATACAAGTGAACCAGAGAGGCTTGAAAGTTAGCAAATAGCAGTATAATTTTTTTAATAGTTAAGGAAACCCATCTGGAGCCTAAACTATAGAAACCCAGACTGGTACAAATGAATCAAGAAATGAAGAGGAATTTGATCAGCTGAATAGAATACGTGTCTATATGAATCCTCACACCATGAAGTCTAGGGATTCAGATGCTTTCTATAATAAAATAATTAAAATACCCATTCTATTTAGGAAGTGTTTTTAGTTTGGCTTTGGCAGGTACCAAAAACTGAATGTAAAGCCAGGACTTTCATTTCAAACCTGTTTTCACACATGAATATGTTTCTTAAGAGTTTCTCTTGGGCTGAAACTTTCCATGCCCTTTATATATTTAAAAAAAAAAAAAAAAAGTCAGAGCAAAATCTCTTCTCCCATGTATTGGTTTGTGTGGTAAAAATATCTTCTTGTTGTGGAAAAATAAAAGACTTCCTTATTAATAAACCCTTACGGTCCAATAATAATACATAGTTTTTACACAGCACTTTTCAGTAGTAGAGCTTGAAAGACTTTACAAATGAGGGTATTTTTCATATTTTAGAGATATATTTAAATATTTTACATATTTAAAGTATTATTCATATTTTAGAGAAACTGAGGCACAGAGCTGCAGTGTCTTTCCTAAATACACCCAGCAGGCCACTGGCAGAGCTGGGACTGGAATCCAGGTTTCCTGAATCCCAGTCTAGTGCTTTAGCTGCTGGGGCCACACAACAGAGGCCTCAGTCAGCAGTGGTGCCCGCTGGACAAAGGACTGTCCAAACGTAAGATGCTGACTTCTGT